TCCACCCCTCCAACTCCCTTGGGCAGCATCCACATATGCTTTCTACTGAGACCTGATTGGGCAGGGGGAGCTGGTAGCAGTGAGGAGTCATGTCCCTGAAAGTGGTATTGGTTGTGTTAAAGGCTTGGCAACTGGAGAATCTGATAAGCTGTTAGGTGACATGGACCCACTCGAAATGGACATCAAGCGGCTCCATTCTCCGATGATGAAAATAGCAGATGCCATTGAAAATAAAACCACTATATATAAGGTACCTGTCTCCTTTCACCTTGGCAACCCTTTCTATGCAGGGCTCTGAGAAGTCCTTTCTAGCTTGCTCTCACGAGATGGTGAGATGTGGGTGGTTCACTTGCTCCTGTGGAGTCCTAGATTCCTGGCTTGGTGTGTCTTTTGCCAAACAGTGCCAGGCCAAAGACTAGGCACATTCTCATTAGCAGCATTCTTAGCCCTGACTCTAGCCTGTAGAACAGGGTTTCACTGTCAAGTCCTCAGCTGTCAAGTTACAAATGACTCTTCTAACCTCTAACTAGTATCCAGGATCCCACATGTTATCACTTACCAGGTTCCTCTGCCTTGTTCTTCCCAAACCTATTGAGAACTTGTCAACTTTTCATTCCGATTATTCTCAGAACCCTAGACTAAGGATGTAGTCCTGGGACCAGCAGTTAGCGTAATGGTTATGTTGCTGGACTCCCATGTAGTCAACTGCGGTTCGAGTCCTGGACCTGGTGGCTTAAACTCACGCTGGGCGCCTGTGCGTGTGTGCCCAAGATCCTGAGAGGAGAATGGAGGAGAAGGGATTGCGGCGTGGCCATCCCCCCTGGGGGGGTGATTTCTCGCTTTCTATCTTTCTGTCTGTCTCTGTCTGTCTGGCGAGCGCACGCACCCTATAGCAAAAACCTCTTCAAAAAAGAAAAAAAAAGGATGTAGTCCTCACTCATCTGGACATGTGTCCTATGATTTCTAGTGGCCCAGTACGCCTATGTTATCTCCCTTGCCTAAACTCCTTTCATGGCTTCCTAGCACCTACAGGATCAAATCCATATTCCTGAGGCCTGCTATTTAATATCTCTATGGTGTGGTGTGACTCTTGGAGGTCTTTTCAGCCTCTTCTTGTGTCACTCCCCCATCTCTGCCCTTCAGGAGTTCTTATTTTAATGGGTTTTAGACATAGACATCTGTACTGTGATGGGTGACACATTGGGTGGCAATAGGGTGGAATTTGGGAGAGCATGATTTCTAACTTGTTCTACCCATGGATTAGGGAAGTCTTGCTTGAGCCATGCCTAACGGCTGAAGAATTCTCTAGGCAAGGGGAGCAGCAGTGTGGGCAGGAGCCTGGCCCACTTTCATGTCGAGGCCCAAAAGGGGAGAGTATATTGTCTTAGGGACATTACTAGATGTGGGAGGCGGCCAGAATGGAGGTTGGAAGGCAGGGAAAGATAAATCTAGAGTCAGATCACAGAAAACCTGGAATTTGACCTTAAGCTTCAGGTAAGAGGAAAGTGCTAAATATTGGTTATTTTTTCCGGGTCAAAGAGTTTTAATTTTTTTTCCATTTTGTTAAAACTTTTTATTTTTTTAAGAGATTTTTGCTATAGGGCATGTGCGCTTGACAGAAAGACAGAAAGAAATCACCCCGTATGGAGGATAGCCACAATGTAATCCCTTATCCATTCTCCTTTTGGGATTTTTGGGCATGCATGCACATGTGCCTGGCATGAATTTTAAGCCGACTGACTTGAACCGCAGTCGGCCATGTGGGAGTCCAGCGATGTAAACATTACACCATTTGCTGGTTTCTTTTTTATTTGTTAGGTAGATAATGTGAGTACATGGTATAAAATAAAACATACTAAAGGGTATACAGGTGAAAAGTTTTCTACTTCTATAATTCCATTCAGGCATTCACTATTAGCAGACTTGGATGTTCTTTCAAAGCTGTTCCATATTTACACACACACACACACACAAACACACATACATACATATATGCAGATGCAGATAACTATTTTAACTCAGGTAGTAGCATGCTATTCATGTTGTTTTTGCACCTTGCTTATTTCATTTACAAATTCATCTTGGAGATTGTTCTACATGATTGTCTAAAGAGCTATTTTTTATTTTTCTAAGGCTACATAAATCATGGAAGAGTTCTATGTTTTTTTTTTTTTTTGGTTGTTGTTTGTTTGTTTTTCTGTAGGGCACATGCACTTGTTGAGAAAGAGGAAAAGTGAGAAAATACTTCTAGATTGGGAGCATGGCCATACCACAATCCATTCTCCTCTTGAGATTTTGGGCGTGTGTACACACACCCAGTGTTTTATTTAAACTGCTGGGTTTGGGACTTGAACTATGCAGTCTTCCATGTGGGATCCAGCCACCTTTATCACCATGATACTGGCTGGCCCTCTTTCTTTATTTTTTTTGCCATAGGGTGCATGCACTCTTTGGAGAGAGACAGAGAGAGGGAAAGTGAGAGATCATCCCCAGAGATGATGGCTATGCCACAGTCTCCATTCCCCTCTTGGAATTTTGGGCATGCACATACATGTGCCTAGCATGATTTCCAAGCTGCTGGGTCTGGTATTCAAATTGTGGTCAGCCATGTAGGGAGTCCAGTACCATACCCACTATCCCACCTGCTGCCCCCTGCTTTGTTATTTATTATTATTATTATTTTAATTTGACCAGAGAGACAGAAAAGGAAAGTGAGAAAGCAAGCCACCAGGTCCAGGCCTTGAACCATATTTGGCCATGTGGGAGCCCAGCATCTTAACTGCCATGCCACCGGCCAGTCCCAACTCCCCCCCCACCTTTTAAATTTAGTTTATTTTCTTCATGAGAGAGAGATAGAAAGATATAGGTACCTTCAACAGGGTCTTCACATCATGATCTACTCCCAGTCTCAGCTGGCCTGGATCATGCCTGCCCAACATGTTCAGGAGGTCCTGGGATATGAACCTAGGACCTTTTCCATGTGGGTTCAGTTGTGCTACCACTGTGTGTGAAGGGATTTATCAAGCAGGGACATGACAGAGTCAGGTTTGTATATTAGAATGGTCATTCTGGTGGCTGGAGTACAAAGCAGATAAAAATCAGATTAATGCAGTGGCAGGAATCACCCTATTCCTATCCTCATAGTTTCAGAGGTTCTTCTGTTGATTAAAGCAAAATTAGTATAAAGTTGTGTGTTGAAAGCCACCTCTCCACCCCCAAATAATATTTCTCACTGAGCTCATAAGCCCCCAAACATACCATTTTTATTCTAGAACCTATAGGAGCTCCTAATTTAATACTTCAAGTTCAGGGCCTTCAGCAGGGCTGCTCCATTGCACTAGTCCAAGAGATGCCATTCAGGTATGCTACTGTGAATAGTGCCCTGGCCTCCAAGCCCAGAGTGGCACAATATGGCTACTTTACCCTGAGCTACCCCATCTTGTCTTTTCTCACTCTAGGATAATAGTTGGTCACACTTATGGGCCCTTGAGCCAGACTGCTTGTGTTCTAATTTACTTTACTAAGTAGTAAGATCTTGAAGGTTCACTTAAATAAAGAATTATTGTAATATCAATTGTTTTTGATCAAGTAATTTTTACTTTCATTCTTATAAAAGCCATGTAAGCTACCTGTTTTCTACTCCCATTTGAGATGAGCAATATGAGGCTAAAGAAGTTAATAAGTACTTGCTGGTGTCTAATGTGTGTTAGAGCCACAAATAGAGCTTAGTTCTGCATGGCTCTAGGCTCCCTCTCCTTACCCGAGCTTGGCCCTGTCTCCTCTGCAGAGTGTTCTGGGGGCCAAGACTTGACTGTTGTCTTTTCTCTCTCCCTAGATTGGAGATCTCACTGGGTACTGCATGAATCCAAACCATTATCAGATGGGGTGGGCTAAACACAATATGGACCACCATTCCAAGAATAACAGCATAGTAGATGCTTCCCCAGTGGACCGTCGCCCAGTACTGCAGAGGATCATGGAGACAGACCCTCTGCAACAGGGCCAGGCTCTAGCAACTGCATTGAAAAGTAAGAAGAAGATGCAGAAGCGCACAGGTAGGGGATCCTGGATGAACATCTCTGTGTGTCCACCTCTAGACTAGGGCTGGGGGCAGGGATGGGTTAGGCAACTCAGTTACTAGCATAGTTGTTCTCATACTTGAGCTTGTATCAGAATTGCCTAGAGGGTTTGTTAAAACAGGTTTCTGGGCTCCACCCTCAAGAGTTTCTTTTCTTTTTTCTTCTTTTTTTTTTTTGCTGTAGGGCACGTGTGCTGCTGAAGAGACAGAGAGACAGAAAGTGAGAAGTCAACCCCCTGGAGTTGGCCATGCCACAATCCCTTATCCTCCATTCTCCTCTCAGAATCTTAAGCACACATGCATGCACATGCACCTGGCATGAGTTTCAAGCCACTGGCTCCGAGACTCGAACCACAGTCAGCCATGTGGGATTCCAGCAACATAACCCCAAAGTTTATTTCTGTTGACCCCAAAGTTTATTTCTTGTGCAAGAGAGAGAGATAGACAGTTACATCATCAACTAGGTCTCTCACAGTGACATTCCACCTATCCCCGACAGCCTTCCCATCTAGCTAGGATCATGGATGCTGTGCCTGGTGTATACAGATTGACCGGGGAACCAAACTGGTGATCTTCCATATGGATTAATAATTATTTCTGTGCTACTGAGCTGGTCATGTATATATTAGGTTGTCAGGAAAGTCATGACATATTTTTCTATGCAAAAATGCATCACGACTTTCCTGACAACCCAATGTATATGTCATGTATCAATATCTATTTTTTTATCAATAGGCAATACACTCAGAATCCAAAAGATAGGAAAGGATATACAGTAAAATCTCTCACATTCCTAGTCATCCAGACCTCCTACTAAAGGCAGTTAATTTCTTATGTCTCTCTCCTGAGATAGATACACATATATCTTTGATTTCATTTCCATACAAGTGCTAGTCTACTGAGTACACAGTTTTGCCCCATCATTTTTTCCATTCGGTATATCTTAGGGATGTTTCCATGTTAATACAGAAAAGTGGTCCATTTTGTAGCTGGCCCATTCTGGTCTTTATGCAATACTTCACTAATTTGTTGCAAAAGTATTATCCTCCCTTTGGTAACTAAGGAAATGGAGAATCAGAGACATTATTATTCAATATAAGACAACTACTAATCAGTAGAGCCAATATGTAAACCTCGAGTTGATTGACCCCAGGAGCCCTATTCTTTGAACTAGGCTGTGTTCTATAGCTAAAAATTCTCTGTTGGCCTGGCTCTCCACTGAGATGTGAGAATTGAAAGGTGAATTGACCTTGAACTCCTAGTCTTACTAGGCAGTGGGAGGGAGACAAGAAAACAGACATTGGCAGCCCAGAGTGATCACACTGAAGAGACAGCAAGCACATTGAGGGAACTTAACCCAGCTTAGTTGGGTGGTCAGAGAAGGCTTCCTTTCTGAAGGAGAGAAGTCTGAGGGGAGTCACGAGAAACAATTGGGTGTATCTGAAGGATGGGGGATGCTTGTGGTCAGCATTCAGGCTCCATACTGCCCCTTCTCTGTCAGAGGTTTGTTTGCAGGTAGTGGCAGAGTGCTACATTCAACATTATTTAAAAAAAAAGGATTATAGTTGGTCATCCATATTCATGGGTTCTGCATCCAAAGGATTCAACCAACCTTGGATCAAAAATAGTCTCCCTCTCAATGGGTTGTATCTATACTGACCACACATAGATATTTTTTCTTGTCATTTCCCAAATAATACAGTATAGCAACTATTTATATAGTATTTACATTTTATTAGGGAATATAAGCAATCTAGAGATTATTTAAAGGATATGAAAGATGCACATTGGTTATGTGCAAATACTATGTCGTTTTACATCAGAGGCTTGAGCATCCATGGATTTTGATATCTGAAGTTCTAGGGAAAAATCCTCCAAATACTAAAGGATTATTATACTGTTTGGTACTTAAAAGGGACAAAAATACTTGGAGCCTTGTGATTCTGAAGCTCCCATATAGATAATTTCATAGATAGATAAATAGATCTGCCTGTGAGGTTGAGTAGTGGCTTTCAACAGCCAACCAATTGTTTTCTTTAGAGTTTATTTTTTCTGGGAGGTGGGGTGGGGTAGTGGTAAATGAGTCATTTTGGGAACTTGGTGCAGACCATGGTAGAGGTAGGCCAGTTCCATCAGGCCAACTATTGGCAAGCCTGCCACCAAGAGATTGCCTCTATTTCTCCATCTACAGATAAAATTGCAAGTAAGCTGTCTGATTCCATGATGTCTGCCCTCAACCTCTCTGGCAATGCTGATGAAAGTGCTGGTGACTGATCAACTGACCTCCCTCTCTTCCCTCTCCAAGCGCCAGTTTGAGTGGGATCGGGGCATGCAGATGAAATAGTTTGGTTCTTCCTAAAACACCCTTCCTCGAACACACATCCCCCATATGTTTTGTTCTCTTAAGCAAAAACAAACAGAAAGGGTCCCAAGAGGCAGGAACTGCCAAACCCAGTACCCTTTATTTAATCCCTACTCTGTTTCACAAAAGAAGTAACAGCAGAGCTCAGATACTAATAATTTATACCCCCTCTTTGGTCCCTGGGTCCCACTCTGTTGACTGACCTGCTCTGAGAGCTGATCTTCCATAAAACCTTGTTCAGCAGAATATGCAACTCTAAGAAGCTAAGCTCCTGGCAGACCAAGGGGTCTCTGGGAGGTATTGATTTCTTCACTACTATGCAAGAGATCTCAGTGGCAAGGCATTTTTGCCATTGGCTTCAGGCCATGTGTCTTGCCTCCATGCCCACAGTTTCTCTCCTGGTGGCAATGGGAATAAAGTGGAGAAGTGGTAAACTTTCTGTGTCTCTAGAAGGGCCTGGGGATAGGACAGAGAAAAGAAGAGAAGAAATAACCCTGGTTGGTGCTGGTGTGATAGGTTAAAGGCACCTTCTTGACTGTGAGGTTGGGAGGCAAGCCCCATCTTGAGGCTTTTCTGGGCATTCAGAATCAAAGGAATCCCTTTAACTGAAACACTCTGACTGGGCACTATCCTTATCTAGCACCAGTATTTGAATTCCATGATTCAAGAGGATTCTAGTATTGTTTATTCACAGACTATTTTTATGAGAGCTGTTGTACTTGGGGGCTGCACAAGTCAACTCCTTTCCCAGTGTCTGGAAGCATGCTGTTAAGTCAGCTTCCTCTTCTGGGAATACCTCCCCATTAGGCAAGGGCAATGGGCCCAAATATACCAGAGACCCTCAGAAAGGAACCAGGTAGACAATTGTAGCTGTATTAACCTTATTAGTTTACCTGGAGTTCATTGTTTAATGCACAGGACTTTAGTTCCCAACAATCTATAGACTGACACATTTGAAGAGAGTGGTAATTACATTATTTCAATCTTTGCCACATACTCCAAACTTCTACACCATCCTTGAACCTGTAACTATCTATACCTGAGCTTGCTCTTGCCTCTGTCATGCTGGCACCCCCTAATTTATTCAGGTTCTAAGAGGGGAACCATGTGAGAGACTGAAAAGCCATTGACTGTCTGGTATTTGGACAGGGGAGTGCAGAGCACTTCTTGTGTTTGGAGGCAGATCAAGAAGAGAATTGTATTGTATACTAGTTGAGTACAATCTGCACCAAAACCCTGGAAACCTGTTAACCTCCTTTATTCTTCCATACAGTTCTGCCAGTAAAGGGTTAGTCTCCCCATATAAAAGATAAACAAGTCCAGAAAGTTGACAAGACATAACCTTGATGACATATTAAATATTGATGCCAGAATTGGATCCCAAGTGTGATTAAAATACTATATGGGTCCCTTGTTCTGCTCTTTAACCAAGGGACATTGATTAAGCAACTATTTTGTTCCAGTCTCTTACAGAGTCCTTTAAACGAATTTTTTTTTGTTTGTTTTTAAAAACTAGAAGTGTCTTTGCTAAAATTACAGTCAGTACGCTTGTGTAAGGTCCAACTTAATTTCACATTGTCTCATTATCAGCCTCTCCTCATGTTGCAATAGAAAATTGGATATTGGGACAACTAAGGCTACTTTACAGGCATATAGTATTCTATAATTTAACATTTAAAATATTTTCTACAACTGTTAAGAAGCTCTGGTAAGTAAGTACTAAAGTTAGAAGTATTTAGATGAGTAAGAAATAGCATGGGAACATAATATGGCCCAAATCAAACAAGAACTGAAGTAATCATGTAAGGATAAGAATTTGGGACTCCAGATTATCCACCTACTCAAGTTTTAAAAACTGTTTCTTGAAGTCTTTTTTTCTCTTCATTAAAAATATTAAGGTATAATTTGCATGCAGTAAAGTTCACCCATTGTAGTTTACATTCTGAGTCCTTGGACAAATGTATACCGGAGTGAACCACCACTGCAAGCAAGGTTTTGGATGGCTGTATAACCCCCCAAACTCCCTGGGTCCCTTTGTAGTCAATCCCTATCCCTCAGCCCACAGTCTTGGCAACCACTGATTTGTTTCCTGTCCCTATAGTTGTGCTTTAGCATGAAAGTCATATAAACAGGATTATTACATTATTTAGGCTTTTTTTTTTTTTTTTGGAGAGGTTTTTGCTATAGGGTGTGTGCACTCGCCAGACAGACAGAGAGAGACAGAAACAGAAAGAGAGAAATCACCCCCCAGGGGGAGATGGTCACGCCGCAATCCCTTCTCCTCCATTCTCCTCTTGGGATTTTGGGCACGCACACACACATGCCTGGCGTGAGTTTTAAGCCACCGGGTCTGGGATGCAAACCGTTTTTGACTACGTGGGAGTCCAGCGACATAGCCATTACGCTAACTGCTGGTTCCCTGTAGGCTTATTTTATGCCATTAGTTTTGTTGTTGTTGTTGTTTTTAAATTCTGTCTTAGGATGCTTGTGCTTGCCAGAGAGATACAGAAAAGAATGATAAGGAAAGAGAAAGTGAGAAATCATCCCCTACAGGGGATGGCCACACCACAATCCCTTGATTTCAGTTCTCATCTTGGGATTTTGGGCACACATGCACACACACCTGGTATGTTTTTCAAGCTTTTGAGTCTGGGATTCACACCATGTATTTGGTCATGCAGGATCGAGCTACCTTAATCACCACACCACAGGTTGGTTCCTGTTAGGTTTTTAAATTTTTATTTAAAAAATTTACATTAAAGAGGCCAGCAGGTACTGTAGTGGGTAAAGTGCTGGACTCCCATGAGGTTGGCCACAGTTCACGTTCCTGACCTGGTGGCTTGAAATTCATGCCAGATGTGTGTGTACCCAAAATCCCAAGAGGAGAATAGAGGAGAGGGGATTGTGGCATGCCCATCCTCTCCCCACCCCCTGGGAGTGATTTCTCACTTTCTGTCCTTCTGTCTCTCTGGAAAGCACCCATGCCCAAGCAAAAATCTCTCTAAAAATATTTACATTAGAGTAAAATTTATTTTTGTGTACAGTTCTGTAAGCTTTGATAAATGCACTGAGTTGTGTAACCACTGATAGAATCAAGGTACAGAACAGTTCAGTTAGACTTCCTCCACCAAATTCATTCCTGCTACTCTTTAGTCAAAATCAGTACCCTGCATGTAACCCCTGGCAATTACCGATTTGTTCTTTGTCTTTACAGTTCTGTAAAAGTGGAATTATACATTGGGTAACTTTTTGAGAGTGAATTTGGCTAAAAATCATACATTTTGATTTGTCCACGTTGTTGGGTGTTAACAGTTCCTATTTCTGAGTTGTACTTCATTGTGTGTATGTACAATTTTTTTGTTTACCTCTTCCTCAATTGTAGAACATTTGAGTTCTTTCTAGTTTTGGGTGATAATGAATAAAGCTAGTATAAACATGCATATTCAGCTTTTTGTGTTTTCATTTCTCTAGAGTAAAATACCTAGAGTTTGCATGGAGGTTAAGGCACCTGGATCTCACATGGCTGGCTACATGGTTTGAGTTCCAGACTTGTTGGCTTTAAAATCACATCAGGCAAGTGTGTGTGTGTACCTAAAATCCGGAGAGGAAACTGGAGGAGACAGGATTGTGGTATGGCCATACCTGCTGGGGAGTGATTTCTCACTCTTTCACTCTCTCTCTCTGCCATTCTCTGAGTGCATGTGGCCTATAGCAAAAACTGAAAAACAAAAACAAAAACGAACCTAGAGTTGAATTGTTAGGATATGGTAAACATGTTTAATATTTTAAGAAACTGCTAACCTATATTCAGTGACTCTACCATTTGACATTCCCATCAGTTTATGAAAATTTCAGTTACACATCCTCTCTAGCATTTGGTATTGCCAATTTTTTTCCCCACATTAGCTATTTTTTTTTAAATTGCCAGAAGGTGAGCGTTTTCACCAGAGCAGGGGGAAAAGAAACCCCCAGTGGGGTATGGTCATGCCTCAGTCCCTTCCCTTCCATTTCTCCTTCCTGTTAGGATTTTGGGGCATGCATACACATGCATCTGGTGTATTTTTTTAAGCTGTTATGCGCAGAATTGAGCCAAAGATTGCCATGTCTGATCTGACTCCCTTAAGCACTAGGCCATGGAGCTGGCCCCACGTTAGTTATTCTAATGTGCATGAAATGGTATCTTGTAGTTTTTACTTGCATTTCCCTAATGGGTAAATTTGAGCAAATTTTCAAATGTGCTTATTTGCCATCCATATGTCTTCTTTGGCACACAGTATACAAATCTTGTGCACATTTTGTATTGGATTGTTTTGTGTTTTGAGTATTCTATGAAGGACGCAAGTTCTTATCAAGATACATGCT